GGGGGGGGGCAGCGCTGGGGCTCGGCCCCTTGGTGCGTGCCTTCTGGTTGCCGCAGCTTTTTAGGACGCAGGTAGCGAGGTGCTTAATGCCCGCTGATACCGGTTTCGTTTGGACGTGGTGCCTTTAGGAGGCTGTCTGCAGTTCGTAGGTTTTCTTTTCTGTTTCTGTTACTGTTTGTTTGCTTTTAGGAGCCCGTGTCACCGTTTTCCTGTCTCTTCCCTTCTGTGGATTTTTTTTTTTTTTTTTTTGTTTGTTTTTTGGACTTCTTTCGTTAAAACCGGCTATTGCCTTTCTTCATGGGAAAGCACACCGTTTTGTCTGCTTATTTTATTTCTCTGGGACAGTGTGAGAAGGGGGGAAAAACACAACCGAGCCTGTTTTAGCTGGGCAACCTGGATTTCTGTTTGCTCCAGGTTTTACTGTTTTCAGTCTGGATCTGAAATGTAAGACACGTACCTATCAGCCTCAGAGAATTTGGCCTTCTTGTGTGTCTTATCAGGGAGTGGTGCTGTTGGGTACTCTTGTAACAAAACACATGTTTCTCCTCTCTTTTAAACCTCATTACTCAGTTATCTGTTATGTTCTCCTCTACACAGAATCACAGAATGGCTTAGGTTGGAAGGGATCTTAAAGCTCATCTAATTCTAGTCCTCTACCTTGAATGCCCAAGTGTCACAGCAGTTGTTTGATTACTCTTCTTCCCCATGCTGGTACTTCGGTGCTGATGTGGTTTGTTATAAATCCCTCAGTTTTCTCACAAACCTGCAGATATGCCAAGGAGACTGACAGGCCAGGGAAGCTTTTTCTCCCACCTGATTTTTTTAAGGCTGGAATGAACACAATCAGCAAAGCAACTGCTGTTACTGTTGACCTGCTGATTTCAAGGCATGCTTAGGAAGAAAGAAGCAATGAGAGATGTAGAGCTGGAGCGGACATAAAAATCTTGTTTCTAGTCTTGTCATTTTATGTTGTGCTCATCTTCATCTCAGTAGTTCCTTCACTTGACCGTTTGCACTGTGAGTATCTCAACTGATATTGCATGAGCACCTATTTCGTGTCTTGGGAACTGCTGCACCATACCTGTCCGGTCTTCTGTTCAGACTAGCTCATGTAAAGACTGTATGGTTAAAGGGTAAACATTACCATTCTAGTGGTGGTGAGGCCTAAAGGGTATTGATCTTGTCAGTAGAAATTTGGATTTGGCCACACTAATAATAAGAGTGAAACTTCTTAAAAGAATGAACTGCCTTAAAGTAGGAGTAGCATCAAAATGTTCAGGCAGAGGACTTTGCTTTTAAGAATTTGGCATTCTGTCCGACTCCTGCTGTGACTGATCATCATAGTCCTCTTCTGATGTGGAGGATTGATGTAGCAAAAAATCTCTCTTTGTTTCAGTTACCAAATGTCCACATGTAACTTCATGGCTGTGCTGTGAAGAGTGCATCCTGTCACTATTGGGCAGTTTAAATCTGTTCCATTTGCTGTGTGCTGCTATCTGACTCAAAGCTCACTTCCCAGTGCTGCAGAGTAGTTCCAGGAAGCACTGCCCTCCTCTTCCTCTCTTGTTTGGATGCAGAAAGCAGTTCTGAATGCTGTTACAGGAGATACAGATGAGGATGGTGGGAACAGGTTGTCTGGCTGTGGCAGTGGGATTCTCGCTGTGATTCGATATGCTGTGGTAGATGGTGCAGGGAAACAAGGTTGTAAATAGTGATGAAAGTCTGACCTTTTGCCAGCAAAAACTGAACTTCCTCCTTGCCTGATAGGCTGCAGCTCTGTCAGTGTTCTGGTCTGAAACAAAGTCTTGTTCTTCAAACTCTATAGTTTTTCCACGTCTTTACCTGCAGTCAAGTGATCTGTTTTTTCTTTGACTGTGAAGAATATGGCCAGAGCTGTGTAGCATGGGTCTATTTTTGTACTTCCCCTTCCCTAGTGCTTTGAGTATTGGTAATTGACTTCATTCTTATGTATTTTTTTCCTAGACTGAAGACAGCAGTAATGCTCACTCTGGCAAGCAAGTTGAAGCGGGATGATGGTGTCAGAGGACCCCGTGCATCCAATCCAGCTTCTGATTCCACTCGGAGGGTGTCTGTACGAGATAAATTGCTTGTTAAAGGTGAAAGGAACTTACATTTCAATTTTGTGGGTTGTACTTTTTAGACCTGTTGGCAGTGATGCAGTACTAAATGTTTATAAAATGGTTTCCAGGAGTGTTTGATATTGCTTGTGACTTATGTGGAGCTTATCACAGAACTGTAGGATGTTTTGAATGGGAAGGGATTCATCTAGTCCATCAATGAGCAGGGACACCTACAGCTCCAAATGATGCTCAGAGCCCCGTCCAGCCTGATGCTGTATGTCTTCAGGGACGAGGCTTCCACCACCTCTCTGGGCAAACTGTTCCAGTGCCTCACCACCCTTTCTGTAAAAATATTAAAACAAAAAAAACAAAACCAGAAAAGCACAATAACAACAACTTCTTTATATCCAATCTAAATTTCCCCCCTTTTTGTCTGAAATCATTTCCCCTTGTCCTGTCACATCAGACCCTGCTAAAGAGTCTGTCCCCTTCCTTCATGCAGCCCCCTTTTACATACTGAAATGCTGCTCTCAGGTCTCCCCAGAGCCTTCTCTTTTCTGTGCTGAACAGCTCCAGATCTCTCAGCCTCTCCCTGTAGGGAGGTGTTCCATTCTTGGCATTGTTTTTGTGGCCCTTGTCTGGACGTGCTCTAACAGGTCCACATCCCTCCTGTACTGAGGACTCCCCGTCTGGATGCAGCTCTCCAGGTGAGGTCTCACAGCACAGAGGGCCAAATCCTCTTCCTCCACGCTGCTTTTGATGCAGCCCATGGTACTGCTGGCTTTGGGCTGCGAGGGCACAGTGCTGGCTCGTGTCCAGCTGCCATCCTCCAGCACCCCCAGTCCTTTTCAGCTGCTATCCTGACATCCCCCAGCTTGTGCTGATTGTGGGTGTTGCCGTGATCCAGGTGCAAGACCTTGCTTTCAGATTTATTGAACTTCTTGAGGTTCACCTGAGCACAGTGCTCAACCTGTCAAGGTCTCTCTGGGTGGCATCCCATCCCTTGGCTATGTTGATCACAGCAGGGAGCTTGGTGTCATCTGCAAACTTGCTCAGGGTGCACCCAATCACACTGCTGATGTCATTGATGAAGGCATTAAAGAGCAGTGGACCCTGTACTGGTCTTGGAGGGACACAAATTGTCACTGATCTCCATCTGGACACTGAGCCATTGATCACTGCTCTCGGGGTGCAATCTCACAACTGGTTACTTGTCCATCAAACAGTCTACCCATCAAATCCATATCTCTCAAGGGAGAAAAGTATTGCCATATGTCAAATAGAGGAAGACTGGAAGACTAGCTGCCTGTGAAAGGAAAGTAAATCCTAAAAGTAATGTCAGTGTTTGTGTTATTAATGGTAAAGATAAAGCCATTAAACTTAAAAGTTTTAAAAACAAGCAAAATATGTATTGTGAATTTTTTTCTTCTACTTAGAGTCACTGGGTGTTAAATTAGAACTTGAGAATGGAAAAATAGACCCCTTGTTTTTGTAGCACTGTGTAAGGAAGGCTAGTTTAGGTTGTTACATCTGTGTCTGCATTGGTGCTTTGTGGCAGTTCAGGGCAACTGAGGTAGTTTGTGTTTGAGGTAGTTTGAGGCTGTGTAATTTTACTATTTTAAACTGAAATTGAGGACAGCACTTCTCTGTAGCTCAGATGATCTGTTAGATAAAAATCCTGAAGTGCTGGTGCTTTGCAGTTATAGTGGGCCTAAAGCCTGATTTACTCCTTCTGGTACTAGTTGAGTGCTTCAGTGCTTGAGCTGTGCAGCTTGATCTAGTAGACTGGAATAAGCTGTTTAGATTGATGTTTCTGCTAAAAGTGAGCCAGTGTGAGTATATTGCTGTTGATGTGTAAGCTGTTAAGGTTAGGATTTGTATGAGTTAAACAAACTATTCATGTTTTCTGGGCATGTATCAGCGTCCTGAAGTTGCTCTGAACTGTTTGGTTGAGTGTATTACTGAACTATTGCTTTATGTGTGGCTTTTTCTAATTAGGGTAAATTCTGATGGAGGGCTTTACACTGGAGCATGGTTTCCCTGCAGTTGCTAAGGCTTCAGTGCAGTGGGAAGTGCCTCAGGTAGACATTATGTTCCCAATTTTCTGGCAGTTATAGTTCTGTAAGGACAGAGAGTTTCAATTCACTTTAAACTCTGATGCAAAAAAATGAGATTGCTTGTGACTTCTAATTTGGAAGTCTGCACTTGGCTTCAATTCTGAAGGGAGAAGGGCATCAGACTAATGAAACAGGCTCTTCAGCCAGAATGAACTACAAAACTAAAATGCTAAGTGTATATCTTCTGAGATTCTCATTAGCTTACAAGTGCAGACTTCAGAGAAAAAAAGCAGTATAATATGAAAGCACTTCATGTTACACCAGAAACTGTAGTTGAAGTGACATAAAAAATTCTACTGTACCTTTAGAGCATTTGCATTTTTCACTTTTATGACTAAAACCCTGTGCATCTTTCTTCTTTTGCAGGGAAAGCAAGGAGTGTAAGCTATAGGAAATCGTTACTGAAACTGTAATTGCTATTACCATTATAAAACCAGCACAGGCTAAGTATTAAATGAGCTGAGGGCCAAACTGACAGATATTAAGAGCAGGTCACTGGCAGCATCCTCTGACGAGCGTGAGTGTTACATCATGGTCTGTGTGTATCACATGGCCCTCCAAAAGAGCTGTAGGAGCAGCTGTCAGTCTGCTTTGAATGGTTGCTGGATGGAAATGAGAACTGGTGGCAGAATTAGATGAGTTCAGTATAACTGTGCTGGGAGTGAGTGGAATATCTAGTAGCTAGACTAGTAAAGCCTTTGTGGGAATATCATCTTTTATGGTTTGCTTTAAGCTGGATGAGTACTGAGATGAGTACAAAAATTGCTAAAACTCACTCCAACCACTAAAGGTCTGTCAGCCAAAGCAGCATCTGCAGTGTTGGAAGCCTGAGTGGTATGTTGTGATGGTGCTGGTATTTTCAGGACACGTTGTCTAGGTCTGCAGGAGGAGTTTGGAAGCAAGGGACTGCCTGCTGAGAGTGTGTGTGCCTGGTGGGTGCTTGCATTTAGACCAGTGTAGGTGCCTTTTGCTGCTTTATTGTATGGAACTGAAACAGCAGTTGGGTGTGCAACTGTATGGGGCTGTGCAGGATTGGAGGCCGAGCTGGGGGGAGTCTGTAAGAGCAGTGGTAAGGAGAACTTGTTACTGATGTTTGTTATAGGCTGGAGGCATCAAACACAGAGATTGCAGTACAGCTGAAAGGCTGAACTTGATCTCCTGGCAACTGTGGATTGAAAAGTAGTCTTTCACATAAAGGAAAATAAATTCTGGTGGAGGGGGAGACAAGAAAAGGCCCAGCAGTTGTGCTGAGATCTGAATAGGTTCAGTTGTACCTCTTAATAGTGTTGGTTTCCATAACATATCTGTATCATTTTTGGCCTCAAAATAGGCATTAACTTGTGAGACAGCAGAACAGCAGACAGCTGGTCTGTGCATTGGCCTTAGGGGCAGTAAATACATATGATGGGCTGTATTGGAAGGTTAGCTGAGGATGATTTTGGCACCATGTCCTAAATCCCACCTAGCCCTGGAAGCTGGTGGTGATGTATAAACCAAGGTATGGAAGCTGTTTGCCTGCTCAAGGATGATGGTGTGCTGGAGTGATGCTGTCCTATTCCCAACCCATGGATAGCTGGCAATGGTCTGACAGATTCTGCAGGCAAATGTCTTGGCCAATTTGATTACAGGCATCACCCAGACAGTGTTGTTTTATGGTGTTTTGTTTTCTGTTTTTGTTTTGTGTTCTTATGTGGGGGTGAAGACAGCCTTACTTGTGATGACAGGGAGTGCAGTCCAGGAAAGCTTTATAGGATCTCCTTGAAGGATGCCTTTGTCACAGTGATAACACCACTGTCCTCCATGTTTTGTGTGCACAGCCTGGAACATAGATGAGTGGCATTTTGTCTGCGGGCTGGATGGTTGTCACCACAGCCACTGCGAAGTGTAGACAGTGCTTACAATCTTCTGAAAGGTAACTGTAGATCAACAGCCTGACTGGTGCTGCCTTGAAAGAGGGAAGAAGTGATAATGTAGGTATGATTTACCTAATGTAGGTATGATTGATTATAATGTAGCTGCTTGCAGTGTGTGAGAAGGTTTGGGCTGGGAAGAGGCCAAGTGGTGACTGATGTGTCAGGATGTGCTGTGCCTTGAGATTGCCAGTGTGGGCACAATTTTTTTTTTTTGTGCTAAAAGAGCTGTAAATTCATTTCTAAGAGGTTGCTTCATCAAGTTTAAGTAGTGGCCACTTGCTTGCTCCTGCAGGATGCTCAAAGCTTTGCAGTGCTGAGCTTGATGGCAGATCCTTTCTGAAGTGTCATGTAAGATTAGTGTTATCTAATGAGCATGACTACGAGATTGAATTAAAAAACAGCAGTCCTGCCAGGATGTCAATTGTAGCCATGTGTTTGGGTATTGATCACAAATGCACTGCAAAAAAAGCAGCAGTTTGAGCAACCACATCTAAACATCGTCCACTTTTATTTTACTGGTGCTGTTTACTTGCTTGCAAATGTCAGGTTGTAATAACTTAAGTCCTAAGACATTGAGTTAGTGTTGTTTATTCCTTGGTCATCTTCAACGTGTCTGAGTTTACAACCAGATTTAGTTAACTTGAAAATGTTTCAAGTGTGCATTTGTACAATCCTGAAGGAGTGAGAAACTGATCACATGAAGTGAATGTGCTCTGTAAATAAAAATCAGGAGAATCTGTATCGTGGCTTTTTTCAAACCTTTAGGTACTGTAATATCACTTGTCATAGTGGTAGGTGATAAAATTGCAAGGTGGAGAATAGAATTAAAAGAAGACATTCTAAGCACTCTTGAAATTCTGAGACATTGTTTTGAAAATGCTGCATTCATGTCTTCACTTTTTTTTTTATTTAACATTAAACAGGGACAGAAGCAGAAGAGGGGCTTTGGGGCCAAAAGCAGGGAGAAATATGTATTGCTGTGGGTGAGAATGTTTGTTTCAGTTGAGGAAATACCCCTTTTGTTCTGTGCCCTTGTGTTGCAGTGGGAAGCACGTGGCCTGACAGTGGTGAGGGTAGTAAATAAACCATCTTATGTCCTGCCTTGTTGAGCTGGGGTAAGGGGAGAGAGCAGAACATCTCGATTATGGTTTGTGTTACTGAATATAACATCCACGTGGGTCTATCGTAAGCCATATGCCTATATGCTTGTCAGGAATGTGTGTTCCTATTTCTGTCCTGAGAATTGTCATGACTAGGGAGAATTACTGTTTGTGAAATCATTTATAAATAGCTCTGGTTACTCGTGTGTAGTGTAGCTTTCATAAAGTTCTGAGAGCTGTTGCTGTGAGACGTCACCAGTTTGCATTCAGTTTGTCCAAAGCCTGTGGTAGGTTTAAGTTCAGTCCCTGCCTTTTCACCCTTTCATTGTAGCATCTGGAACCACTAAACTAAAGCATTCCACTGGTGTTGGAGTGATGTATGCAGGTAATCCTGTGCAGTGAGATTCTTCTTCGTTGGGATTCTTCAGTGAGATTCTTTCACTGCTGAAGCTTCGACTTGTCTGTGTCAGGGATGACAGCCAGTTCAGGTCCAGCTGAGTGCATTGCTTCTGGCAAGTGCTTAGAGGATGCTGCAAGTACACTTGATGTAGGTGTGCTCTTGCACCTGATTGATTAATGTTTCATGGACATCAGACTGGCTGATGAGGAGCTGGTTAGGGTCTGGGCTGCCTGCACCATGCGTGTTCCCCAGAGAAGCTCTGACACCTCTCTGCCTTTCAGACCTCCCTGGATGCCTTACCAGCATGGTGCAGAGCTCTGTGCTGCTCCTGGGCTTGCTTCTGGTTGGCAGTCAGCCTTCTAGGCTGTGAAAGGGCTTGAGAAGCTCTGAGGTTTGCACAGCACTGGATCAGCACTAGCAAGCACTACTCCAAGTGTTCATCATTCCTCTGTCCTGCTTTCTGGGTGCTTGAAGAAATACATGAAGCATTGTGCTTGCTGCAGAGGTTTGGTAAGCATGGATATAGGAAGAGCTCTGTGGAGCTGGTGAGCTTTTAATTGTGAGATCTGTTTGAATTCTGTGTCAAAAAACTTTTCCTATATCTCAAGCACAATTGTAATCTTCTTTGGGCGTACATTTCTGAGAGTTGGTGTGCAGATCTCTTAATGTTGTTAGCCTAAATGAATCATTGGTTTCTGTGCAGAAGAGAAAGTGAAGTGAGAAATCAGGTGGAGAAAAAAAGTCTACAGGAAATGCAAATATACACTTAATTAGGTTTCCTGGAACTGTAAGAGGAGGGGGTGCCTTCCTGCATCTTATTCATACTCTTGTGAAAGATTCAAGTAGTTGAAAGTAAGGCTTCATTGTGGTGCAGGAGGGAGGGAGAAAACAGTGGGCCTTCCAGAGAGGGTAGTGTGACAGAGAGGGAGTTAGGAATAAGCTTTTCTAAGTGCTACACAACTGAATGGTGTTACTTTCTTTTTTTCCAAATGAATGACCTTGAATTTCTATGCGTGGGACATAAAAGTGAATAGAAAGAAACCTGAATTTATTTTTCAGTTGGAGTGCATATCCATAGCAAATGATGCTCCAGGGGAAATTTCTAACAGGCATTGAAGCAAAAAGTCTGACTGCTCTGAGAGTATTCAGCAGTGCTGAGGTTACGGGGGGAGCTGTGCAATGGGAGCTGATATTTCTGTCCTGATTGCTGTGCCAAGTGCTTCAAATGAAGGTTTCTGGGTTTTGACTTTCTTAATGCTGGTTTATGCAGGCAGGGTGCTGTCTTGTATGACAGTGCTCTTGAGTAGAGCCTCTGTAGCTGTTCCCAAGTGTGCAGGCAGTATTGTCATGCTTGGAGGCTTCACCAAAGGAACCAATGTGTAACCTGAGGATATCTGTAGCCGAGGGTGGTAAAGGACATGAGCAGGTAGGTGCTGTAGAGTGCTGCAATTCCAGCAGACTGTGAACCTCTTGTGCTTGTTTTCTCCATTGAGGTACAGCTGCTTCTTGAGGTTGGTTTGCTCCTGTGTTTTGGCCCTCTGTATTTTAGAGCCTTATGAGGTTGGAGGTCAGGATGGTGCCACTCTTTGCAGTGGTAGGGCTCTGTGTCTCTGGTGCTTCTCTCTTGGCAGAGCTGAGCCCTCTCATTGCAGTAGGGAAGCGTTGTCTGCAGGGTAGACGAGCCTTTTCAGTAATGAATTGTGTGGCTTAAAGAGAAATTTCAATGTAAATCTTCCGTGAGACTTAATTATATCTTAAGTGAAATTTGATTTACAGCAAGGTTTAAATTAGATTTGCCAATTTGGACTTTGAGAATGGCTTTCTGCTTGCATAAGTAATGGTATGTTTCTTTTCTTTCAACAGAGGTTGCGGAACTTGAAGCTAATTTACCTTGTAAGTACAGCATTCAATGGCATACATTTTAAGGGGAATAGGGCTGTTGATGTGATTATTTGGATTGAAGTATGAATGCTAATGATGTGTTAACAAGCTGTGCCAAGCTCTGCTGGCCTAGGTTTGAGCAGGCTTGCTCTGCCCTCTCTTAAGGTGTTGCAGAGATGTAGATCCTTGCTAGTGTCCTTTGGAAGCAGCATTGATCATTCAGTGACATGACACAACTTGGTTGCTGGTAGAGTGGGAAGTTCCTTCTCACAGAACACTCTGGAGCTGAAGAGCACACTTCTTACCTTGCTTCTGTTTCTCCTCTGGTCTCACCTTAATTCCAAACCAGGAAATGCTCATTTAGTAGCAGAGCAAATGGCTCAGGTCTCAGGAACCACATTAACCTGGTGCTTTTTCATTTCACATTTCACATGCAAGCTGTAGCCTAGTGTGCTTCTTAAGCAGTAGATGTATTAACAAAAATAAGAATACTAATTAAAAAAATATATATATTCCTTAAACAAACAAAAAAGGCAAGATGAAGTGCTTTTAGCCCTGGAATCTTATCTGCATTATATGTTATCTCAGCATTATAGGGGTTTGAAGAGACATCTTGAGGTCCCTAATTGTAACCCTCTCCCTTCCTCCCCCCTTTCAAAAGCAGTTTCCCTCAAGCAGGAGGAGAATCCACAAGCTGGGCAGCCTGTTCTAGTGCTGTGCTAGTCTGAGAGTAAAAAAAAGTTCTTCCTTACGTTTGTATGGAACTTCCTCTGTTCCAGTTTCTGCCCATTGCCTCTTGTTCTGTTGCTGCTTGCCACCAAGAAGAGTCTGCCCCCATCAACTTGATTCCTGCACTTTAGATGTTTGTAAGCAGCAATGAGATCCCCTCTCAGTCTTCTCCAGACTGATCAGTCCCAGGTTGCTCAACCTCCTCTCTTACAGGAGATTGCTCCAGGTCCTTAATCATCGTTATCTCCCTCCACTGGGCCCTTTCTAGGAGACCCTGTCTGTTTTGAACTGGGGAGCCCAGAACTAATGCTCCAGATGTGGCCTCACCAGAGCAAAGGGAAAGGAGAATCTCCCTCAGCCTGCTGGCCACATTGTTTTTAATGCAGCATGGGACAGCGTTGGCCATCTTAGCCACAGCAGCACACTGATGGCTCATGACCAACCTGAACTCCCAGGGCCTTCTCTGCAGAGCTCTTCTCCAGCAGGTCAGCCCCTAACCTGTACCAATGCGTGCATTTATTCCTCCTCAGCTGTAAGACTCTACACTTGCTGTTGCTGAACCTCATCAGGTTCCTCTCTGCCCAGCTCTCCAGTCTGTTCAGGTCTTGTTGAAGGCAGCACAGCCTTCTGGTGTGTCAGCCAGTATCCACCCAGCTCAGTATCGTCACATCTTATGCCAGAATGGTTCCTGGATGCTTTAAGATGGAGTTTGAAGAGCACAGGGTAAATGGCTTATTGCTATCAAATACATGTTTTCTGATCCTTAGCTTCAGAGAGTTAGTTCTGTAACAGATAACAAAATATGAAGTCCTTCTATAAAGGGCTCCTGCAGTTCTGTGGTTGTTGCTGAGGGTGAGTGTTGGTGGCAAAGCTGAGCTCTCTTTCCTCTCAGATTTTGACCAGAACAGCAGCACCCTGCCATCTCTGCTTCAAAGTTACCACACAGTCTGCTCAGGGGCAGCTCCAGAACCTGTCACTTGCTCTACGTAACTTCCTGCCATCCATGCTCATATTTCAGAGTCATCTAAGACACTTTGCCTGCAGGGAAAGAGGTGTGAGCTGCTTGCTGCAGTCTTGAGAGCATGCATGCAGGCTACTGCCGTGCATTCACATAAGGGTGAATGTGCCTTGCTCTTATCTTTCAGAGAGAAGTGGTGAATATTCTCTTTGATTATGCTGGCAGATAACCCGTAGTGTGCCTTTTCCATCTGGGAAGTTTGGCCATTTTTTCCCTCTAGGTTAGACCTCTGCTGCTTCTCCTGAGCCTCTTGTGTTTGCTAATGCCTGTAAATCCAGATCAGCTGTCAGATCTCAACAATCAGGCTTCTCAGCATGCAGGCTGCCTGATGGGAGGAATTGAGGGGAAAAAACACAGAACAGAAGAGCTAAAAGGGATAATGTGAAGCATTATCACTTTCTTTCTGTATGCTTCTCTTTCTAAAAGACAATTATAGAGATTTTTTCACGGTAGTTTTTGGTTCAACTTTTTGCTTAGTCTCTTCTATAAGATAATGAATGAGAAATGGATTAAAGTAGGATAATGTTGAGAAATGTATATCAGGGTTTGTGGCTTTTACAGTGTGAATGCATTACTGGAGTGTGTGTGCAGCTGTAGGTATTTTTATAGGCAAATGGGATCTATATATTTTTGATGCTGTGTAGCTTCTTAGTTAAGGGAGAAAAGTACAGCCAGCTTGGATGGATTCAGAAGCTAAAGGCTGCATTATATGGATAATAATGTATGCATGGTTGTACACAGCTTCTAGTGCCAGCTTGATAGCTTTTCTGTGCCATAATCAAAAAAGACCAGCTTTGTACATGAGAAGGCAGCTCAGTTTGTGTCATCAGAGGCAAACAAAGGGCTGTTATGCTATGAATTTGCATCTGTTGAACTGCTGCTGACTACTTTCGTAACAGCCCCTGCACAACTTCACAGATGGATGTTTCCTCTTCTTTTTACTCTTGTTCTTCATTGTCACTGTTGTCCTTAATTTCATCTAGTTTGAGAATAAAATCATCTCCTTTGCTTTTTGATGCTGCTTCACTCTTAGTAGGTGTAATCACTGACTTGAAAGTTAAACAGGACAGAGATGTGTAGCAGTTGTATGTAGGCATTCTGAGGCAGTCTTTATTGTTGCATATGGCTGCAGTATCTGTTTGATTTCTAGTCTGTTGATTTATGAATGGTGTAGCAGCTTCAATTGCAATTGCACTGTCTGGAGTGTCTGGAGTCAGTGCCCCACATTGAAGCAGTTCCTGATTGTGAAGCCTTGGGTAGGGAGAAATACTTGCCTCACGAGTTAAAAAGTGCACGTTGCCAATACAGTGTTAATTTTTGAATTGGCTTTTTAACATAAAATTTCTGTAATACAGTTCACAGTAAAGAGCACTAAGGAAATGTAGATTCTTCCCTCTCCCCTTCTTCTGTGCAAAAGCCTGAAAAAGTAATTTACTTTTCATGAGTTCATTTCTGAAGGGCTAGGGCAAGGCTCTGGCAGCCTGTTACGGGTTTGAAACTTGCTCTTGGATGGAATAAAATAGGCTGGTTGTGGCACTCAGCCAGGCTGAGAAACAGCTTTGTTCAGTGTGACAGCTGAACAGCAGCTTCGCTTCTCTTTTGGGTGAGTAAAGCAGTAAAGCATGCTTCTAATTGCATCTTGCAGGTATAAATCCATTCTAGCATAGAGCTGTGGTGGCAAGACTTCCTGGAAAGTGCTGTGTGTGATCAAGTGTTAAAGGTATATGTGTTCCTGTTAGGGAATCTCTGAGGAAAGGATGCTGATTCTGCATGCTGTCTTCTCAGCTTAGAGCTAGGCGTCCATATAGAAGACCTATTCCTGTGTCATTTTAGAGTATGAGACAACATGGTTTACTGAAAGGAAATCAACTTCTCCCTCCCAGCTCAAAAAAATGGAGTTATTGCAGGTAACCTACAACTGTATGGAGAAAAGACACTTAGAAAGTATGGGAAATCAGTGAACTGGAACACAGGGATTAATCAGGGTGCTAATTCAGGGGATGTGAAAGATGATACATGTTTTTTCAACAGTGGACAAACAGTTATCTGATGCAAATTGTTCTTTTGCTTAACAGGTACATGTAAAGTGAATTTTCCTGACCCAAACAAGCTTCATTACTTTCAGCTAACCGTAATCCCAGGTAATTTTCTAAACCTATAGCTTTTGCTTCTGTATGTGTTGCTGTGGTGGAAACACAATTCAAGGTCTATAGAATATGGTAAACTTTCTAGTCAATGACAGCTGTAATGCAGTGATGGTTTCATAGGGGCCATGAGGAAATTGGGCTGGATTTTGAGAACTACGTTGCAGTAAGATTGCTATCAAAATATAGCAAGTTCAGCAAGTATTCAAGTCTTGTTGGCTCATTTTGAATGAAGACATTTTACTGAGCCTATTTCAAGTCATATATTGGCAAAAAAACCCTCAAAAACAAAGTGTGGACCATGTCTAGAGAAATGACTGTATTACAGCTCTGTTGAACTCCAGATTTATTCCTATTTATACATACAGATTGCTTGATTCTGTGGTATTTAAAGGGCAGGTGATGTAACACTGCTGGAAAACTTCAAATCTGTGCATATCTGAAGATGCTTAAAAAGTGGGAGTCTCTTGGTCTTTAAAAATGTCTTCAAACATTCAAGTATGTGGAAGCTAGATCTTTTAATGTGCCTGAAGTACACTGCTGGCCTGTTGGTCAGTAAAAACTGCCTCGAAATTAATTTGTGCATTCATCTTTTCCATGTGAGATTCTTAATAGTAATCAGAAAATACGGAGTTTGCTCATGTTTTGGATTAGAAAACGGTGTCTGTTGTGGATGGACTTGCATGGAAGATCATCTATTGAAACGTCAGGAACGCTTTTACTGCAAATCATCTTTGAGAGCGTGCAGCAGTTCAAATGAGGACACTGATGTGTGCAGTGCACTGAAACGTTTGAGTTAAGAGGCATTGCAACCGAGCCAGCAAATTCTTACCGGTGTAGATTTCCTGTGGATATTTATGGACGGGGCTTTGCATGCTATGTGTCAGTCTTGGAGACGTCTTACCTGTGCAAATAATGCTTTACAGTTTGTAGAGCTAGAGGAACATTTTTGGCACTGTTTTGATAGGAAATGACCGCTAGATGTCGGTGTTGCTTTTTTGCTGGCCCGAACCGACCGGCGCTTCCTTGGCAGCAGGAATCTTTGCTAACGAGTTCATTAGTGTGACTCCTTTTGGGTACGGAAAAACGAGTTCGATTTTCCTTGTCAGTATGCTAAGAAAAACAAAAAATATATATAAGTGCTATTACTGAACTTTCTAACGTCTCGTTCTGTGCAGATGTATTTGCATTTAATTAGTGAGTGTCGCCTGTTTGTAACAACTCCGTTGTCCTTCAGTTTAAATGATACTTGCTTATGTAGTTTTGGAAATGAGATGATTTCAGAGGATCATCACAGTGCAAGTCAGGACTGTCTTTGATGCGAAAGCGATAGGTAGCTTCATTGTACTAATTTTAAGGCATCTAAAGACATAAGGTTGTTTGGTCTGTTAACTGCTGTGCAAGCTGTTGCAGTTGGAAGACAATTGCTGAGTGCAGCGCATGGTTTTTGTGCTGGCTTCATTAAACGATCTCGGGAATGAGATGATCTTAATGAACATTTTCTTGCTCCAAATATAGCTGCACAGCTGAAGTGGCTGCAGTTGTAGCCTGCCCAAAGTAAACATCTATTTTCAGCTGTGCATAATTCAGGTACAGAATCTTGTGATCAGCGACAGCTTGGCACAGCTCTCTCAGTGCAGAACGCAACACATACCAAGGAACCACTGCAGTTTTCTGATCACCTTTGGAATATGCTAAATCTCAGTTTTCTCTGAGGTGACAGAGAGGCAGCAAATATTGTCTCACAGTGCTTCTGCCTCAAATGGGTAAAATTCTAGATGGGAGACAACCGTTTTTTGTAGTGCCGAAACAGCATTGCATGAATGTGAACAGGGAGAAAAGGGCTGTTCTTCCTCATCCTGCCTGGAATTGTTTCTAGCATTGCACATCCAAATTACTTCTAGAAATCCTCATCGTATAAAAATTGTTATTTTGGCTTGTGCTTAAGAAGTCCTGGTTCCTTTATGGTCTGGCAGTGCTCAGTGAGAGAATGTATAGCAGCATGCATTGGACAAAGGGTAAAACAGGTTTTACAGCCATGATGGATAAACTGCTTGCCCCTGAGACAGATGCTGCTGCTGGAGCTGCTTTTTCCTTGTGTCATATCAACCAATTTTTTCTGTCATTGAAAAATGTGCTCGTGGCACCACTTGCCTCTGTTCCTATTTTGGTATCTGTACCTTACTGGATCAAATGCTAGGGAAAATAAGGAGATGGATATTTGCAACATGGAGGCCTGCCTCTGCACTGGTATTTGAAGCACGGAATTTGAAGCTGAAAGTGAAACACAGTAATGACCTGGGCAGAGGGGAGAGGTGAGTTTAGGTGGCATATACATGACAAAGACTAGAGGAATGCATAGAGTTAATTAATTTGTTTCCCATGCAGTTGTGTAGGTTAGGGTTAGCGTGATTATTTGAGTCACATTCTTCAGGGAATTAATAAAATGCCTGTTTTCTGCTTTGCATACCATAAAATGACAAATGTCAGTGAGCATGGCTGAGCATTTCAAAGCTTACGATTCAAGGAGCTGCTATCAAATGCACATCCTTTGTGGCCTGTCCAAATTATCTTACTTTTTCTTTTAAACGTAAAATAATTCTGTATCTTCGCTGTGCATTTAACCATCAGAACACCTCACAGGCACAGATTAGTATTAGGTTGTTAGTAAAGAAACTTGAGACTGCAGTAAGAGGAATGTTAATGTAGCTTGAAGACGTAAATTTAAGCAGGAGACACAAATTGGAGCTCAGACATATTCACTTCTTGGAAAAATCTCCTGTAAATGGACAAGTTATGAGCTAAAACTATTTTAATTAGCTCTTTCATTTACACTGCTTTGCTTACTATTAGCTTTGCCAGAACTTCAGTTCTTTCCAGCATTGTTACATGGCTGAAAATTAGAGGGTTTTTGAGTCTGTATGAGGGCAGGGAAGGGAATACAATTGTAGGTGTTGGAAGGGACCTTGGGTTGTCATCTAATTCAACCCTCTGCTAAAGCAGGTTCCCTATAGTAGGTTACAGTAGGAAAGCATCCAGGTGGGTTTTGAATATTTCCAGAGAAAGGAACTGCACAGCCCCCTCGGGCAGCTTGTTCCAGTGCTCTGCTGCTAGTTACAGCCCTCAACTAGACTGCACCGTTGTCTGCAGCCTTCTGTGCTCTGCCAGTCAACCAGTTCTCAATCCACCTCACCATCAGCTTGTCTGTCCCACAGTTCTGAAGCCTACCTATGAGAATGTTATGGGAGACAGTGTCAAAACCCTTGCTGGGATTCCTGAGGGTCAGTCTTAGGAAAGTCTGAAGCAAAGAAAGCATTCAGCAACTCTGCCTTCTCAATGTCCTCCATTACCAGTCACCCACCTCATTCACCAACAGGCCTACATTTTTCTCCAGCCTTCCTTTTGCTATTGACATATTTGAAGAAGTGTATCTTGTTGTTCTTGATCTCCCTTTCCAGTGGGCCTTAGCCTTCCTCATTTCATCCCCTCTGGCAGCATTACTGTGTCTCTCTCAAGTGGGCAGACACCTTTCCTACATTTCATAGGATTTTATCCATTTGAGGTCTTCCATGAGTCCTGTGCTCATCCATACAGGTCTCCTGCCACTTTTGCCTGATTTCTTACCCCTGGGTAAGATATATATATATATATATATATATCTATATATATATACTGATCTTGAGCTTTGTAGAAGTGGTGTTTGAATGCCAATCAGTTCTCATGGGCCCTCTAACCTGCACTGTAAAGTGCCACGTCTGGAGTGCTCTCGGTCTTGCAGAGATTTCTCAGCCTTGTGTAGAACACAGAAAAATAAAGAAAACAAAAGTAATACAATAGGAATTTCTTGTGGCTTGTGGAACTGCTAATATGTGGTTAAAAAGCGTTTGAGCTAATCTAAAACAAGTTTTTTGCTAAGGAAAGGGAATGTTCTTCCATCGTCTGGTCCTGCTGTACCTCTTGCACTAATTCCAGTTCTCGTCTCAACCATTTGTACTCCAATTTGTCTCACTAATCCTGTGGGACACACTGCAGTCTTTTTGCCATGATGATTTCATGCAGCTTTGACTAATTTCCATGTTGTTGCTGGGAGTCCCTGCCTGGGCTGGGGGGGTTTGGAGCTGCCCTGAGCTGTGTCTGCCTGATGGTGAAGAGGTGGAGAAAGTGAAGAACAACTCTTCACCATTTTTTGTTTCCTTTTTCCCCCCCTTCCCTGTGCATTTTCTTGAGCAATGTCATCAGCAGTCTTGCTGCCCGTGCTTTTAGATGAGTACCAACCTGTATGTTCCTGCAGATGGCATCTGTGCCTGGTGTTTTCAGTGTGCAGAGATGCAGAGCGTGGCTTTTCTCTTACTGTTCAGCTGGCAGCACTCTGACAACCTTCTGGCAAGCTGTCCTTCCCTGGAGCTGTTTTTGAGTATTTTTGTTTTTGAACAATTGGATTACAGTGAAGACTGATTAAATCTGAGGGTTTTCTTTGACGCAAGACACATGTAGACATACCTATTTTGCATTAGCAGGGGTAGATCATAAAGGGCTGCTGTGTGCTACACTCCAAGGCCACAGAATACAGGAACTACTGAAATTAAGCCAATGAAAAATAACTTTCTGCTGCTGGGCTTCGTGAGCAGCCTTCACAGGGGTGCTGTTTCTCCTTTGCCTTGCAGCGGCCTTATTTCTCCCTGTGCAGACATCACATTGCATGTGATAGCTTCCCATGGAAGCCTAGAACGGTTAAGGCTGGAAAAGAGCTCTAAGATCATATAGATCATCACCCCCAGGTTATTTTCCACAGTGCAGCTTTCCAGCCACTCTGTCCCAAGCCTATAGCATTGCATGGGGTTGTTGCGACCAAAGCCTGGCGTTTGATCTTGTTGAACCTCATCCCATTGGCCTCAGCCTATCCAAATCCCTCTGCAGGACCTTCTACCCTCAGACTGATCAACACTTTCATATGAGTTGGTGTCATTGCAAACGTACTGAGAATGCATCAATCCCCTTGTCCAGATCAATAAAGTGATGTTGAGAGGTGATAGCTTAAGTGCTTGTGAACCAAGGAACACTGATGGAAGACTGATCTGCATGGTTAGTACTGTAGCAGGCACTGAAGAGATTGGTATTGTTTGTTTTGCTCTGCTCAGTGAAAGACCTGTGCATTTATTTCTTCCAGCTGTGGTTTTTACAAGGTGTGGCATCACGCTTGGGAACAGTGAGGATTCCTGCAACTTGGTTAAATAGATTTCATGTGTGCTGAGTGGTGAATGAAGTGCAGTCAGTTGCATCCTGTAGGGTTGCTCAGTGGTGACTGTGCTGTTTGAGTTCCAGGTGGAGCATTGAACCATTTCTATAATGGTTCTTTCTTAAAACAACATCTTACTTTGAGCGTGTGGCAAATCTGACAGGCAGCAGTTTCATCAAAAGGATATTTGGTGTTACTCACCTTTATATACTTGATTCTTCAGAAATGTTTTGCTTTACTGATTTTTATCTCCAGTATGTTTGAATGCAAAATAAAAATGCTTTGACTTGTGTATTTTTTTCCCATCAAAACCAATGCATGTGCAGCTCTGTGCTGGTAAAGCACAGCAGCATGCCTGAGAGGTCTGCTTAATAAATTAAGTGCATGTCAAAATTGAATTGGAAGTGCAGGATGTATTTGAAAAATGTGTACTCTCAGTAGGTTATTAAAGTGAGCTTTGCACTGGGTGAGGCTGGCAGTTCTGTGCAGATGTCTATGGGATGATGAAAGGTTTGGGTGGGCTGGGTGCTGGAAGCCAGCAGTTCCAGGATGGAGGCAGCCATAAACCTGTATGGGATGGGAAAGATCAGCCATGCTCTGTTTCCATGCTCTGGTAGCACTAGATGTGGGAAGGGAAGAGGTCCAGAAGGCACCACGTCATCCCAGTGGGATTTTGGTGATGTATAGTAGGAGAGCTAGAAGCATTTTGGAAGTTAGATAATAAGATAATAAGAAATGTGTCTTTTTAATCGTTCTCTAAACCACTGATTGCTTTGCCAAGCTTTCCTTTGCAATGTTGTTTTTAAAAATTGCATATTAAACAGTTGTGTGAGGATAACCAACCCCTCCTGACTATCAGTTCTTTGCTGTGGCTGCACGATGTGATGCAGACAACAAGAATAATGACAAAACTCTGTAGTTGCAATGCCAGACAGACACGTATCAGATTGCTTGCAAGCATTTCAGCATCCAAGCGCAGCCATCTCAGGAATGACAGCCTGTTGCCTATTGTCTCTGGTTACACACAACTGGATATGTTCAGAATTCATATTTTACAATTTAGCACTTTTCATAATTCAGTGTTGGATCTCAGGTTGACGGAGAAGCAGGCAGATTTTCCTAATTGGTGCATCACCCACTGGGAGATAATTGTCAGTCAGAAGACCTGACTTGCTTTTTTATTGTAGTGCACGTGCTCTTGGCACACCATTATTCCTACTGTGACTGTAATTGCTGGTGCAAGTCTGAGGGTGCTGTGGTTAAGAAGGATTTAGCATGCATTAGCAGCAAGGTGTGTAACCAGCTTTCTTTTTGGAGTTGGAAGCAGTTAGTGCTTTGGTGTTTGGGTTTTTGGTGATGACCTGAGGCTGTTATTTGAATCTCGTTAATGACATAATTTGTATAACACAGCATTGGTTATTTTCTCTAAGTGAACTGTTTTAATATTTGTGGTTCTTTTTCTTTGCTAGATGAGGGCTATTACCAAGGTGGAAAATTTCAGTTTGAAATTGAAGTTCCTGATGCCTACAATATGGTGGTAAGTATCTTATTATTGGTCTAAAGGTGGTTACATTTCCTTTCTGTGTACTGGGACAGAGGGAAGTTGGCATTGAGTCTAAGAGAGGGGCTTCTCTCTCTTGCTGAAATGCCATCAAAATACAGAACAATCTGGTTACACTTTGGTAGTGCGGCATCTGAAACCAACGTTATTCCTTAAAGAAAAATAATGCTCTGGCAGAGGATGCTTGGAAATGTAAATGAGGAGTCAGACTGTTTTGGCTGAGGTTCCACTCTCATCTTGGTTCTCCCTTGGTAATTATTTTTGAGACCCGAGCTTGATTATTCTCACCAAAAAAATAGTGTCTAGAAGAGGGAGTTATACAACTGAACAGAAAGGAGAAGTCTTTGCTTTTTATTTTTGTGGGGCCTTCAGCTTGTGCTTATATTTCTGCTATTGGACTGTAGTGCTCAACTCCTTTTTAGAGGGTGCAGTGGAGGACTTGGAAAGTGCAGAGATGGTGGCAAGTGGCCTTTGGTGCACTCCACTAATTCTGCAGGTTGTCTCCCAAACTGTTTAGCTATCTATTAAAAAAAAACACCTTATTTCAATGGTTATTAAGCAAGCAGCTTTCCAGAGGACATCCCCATGATCACAGTTTCTTATTATAGACAAACAGAAAGCTCCAAGGAACTTGCTCTTTTTGAACATGAGAAACATTATTGCTTTGTTTTACTCTACTAAAATTACAGACTGTGGCAAGAGAGGAGGAGGTACAATTACAATAAAAATAACTGTAGACATTGTTTTCAGAGTTGAGCAGTCTGTAGGAAAAAGCAAACTCCAAAAATGGAAAACAGGTGGGGCGTATGTCTGGTTCTCATGAATTACTCTTGGTCCTCTGTGTTCTGATGATATATAGGGAAATTAGATTCATTTGAGCATTTAAATTGCAATAATTGCATGCGGAGGTATGAGCTGCAGCAGGAAGGAAGGAAGGAAGCCTCACTTAGTTTGAACATGTTTTATTTTGCTTGCGTTCATAACTTTTTTTCTTACATCTTTTTTGTTTTCTGACGTTTGCTGTTATTATTTGAGAAGTCTTCTTTCAGAGAGGCTGAAGAATGAGTAGGAGAGGATAGCAGAGGTCCGAGAAGACCTTTGACTTGGGTTCAAATGCACCAAGACTAAATTCAGCATCATATATGTGCAGCGGCTGCTGTCGCAGCCCTGTTTTTTGTGCAGTATGTATATACACACACAGGAGGAGCAGCAGTCTGGAATGGGATGGCCTGAATTCTCAGGCTGAGCTTGAAGAGCTCCAGTGGGGTAGAAAAGATCTGCATCTAGGTGTGGGGGGACTGGGCTGCCATTCCAGAACATGCCTTGATAAGTTCTCTGATATTCCTGGTGCTTATAATCAAGGGGGCATGCACTATATTTTTTAAGTTATTGCTTGTGGAGGACGGTAGTTATTTCTGAATCAGCTCAATTTTCCATTGTCACTGGTCAAGAGATGAACAGTATTTTAGCTATCCAGCTATCTGAGTTAAGTGGTAGCCATCTCAGGTCCTGCACAGCTTCGGGGAACAGGTTTTGATCTCTGTTCACAGCTTTTTCTCTCCTTGACTGTTTTCCTGGGAGTTTTTGGTAAGAATAAAGTATTTTTCTTTGGAAATCTCGAACTCTATTGCAGTTCAGTGTTCTATTCCTTTTATTATATAACCAAACCCTGGATCCTGTGTGTCCTTCTAGGTAGGTTCTTTTAGCGCATCTCATGTTTGCAGTTGCTTTTTTTTTATAAGTTCCCCACGTAACCTCACCAGAAAACTTTCCATGGTGACAGTTTTATACACACTATGAACATACTGTAAGTAAGGTGGTCACTAAGTAATTGCATTCTCCTTTTAATGTGAATGAACTGTGCCATCAAAAATACTTGGAGGAACGTGGCATTCATGGCAGAAGGGGAACCCTCCCATATTCTCGTCCATCTGACTTTTTAGTCATCATCAATAAAGCAGTTTAACCACTGTGGCATTGCTGAGTACATGGAGAAATACAAAATATATAAAATTGTAACTGAAGAGAAAAAACTTGGTAAGCTTTGTGTTGTGAACTGAAACTGATGCGTGCTGTTCTGTCAGGGAAGCAAAGCACTGGAGATAATAGTAGATCTGTGAGCATAAGTCACTGGCTTGTATCACCTAGGCTGTGCAGTCCCTCGGGGCAGAGATTCAAGAGCCTAACATGTGGGAAGGATGCTTTGGGGTTAGCTCTGCTGTGAAGTGCTGCCTCTTGCTTGTGCTCAGAGCACACAGCTGGTTGATCAGGCACTTCTACATCACTGAGCTGCTGTATGTGGTACTGGAAATGTTTGTGGTGATTATCTGTAAGGCAGTAACATATTATAAGGGTTCTTCCATTATATCTGTAATTAAAACTACTTAAGCTGTTGAAGAGATGAATAATTTTAGAAGCATCTGAATGGGAGAACAGGAAAAGGTTTTCATTTCTAATCAGTTGCTGGTCGTGCAAGAGGAATTGTTCAGATAGATCTGTGCTGCATTGCGAGAGGTAATTTGTGTCACACTGCTTCTGCAAGCTGACAGGATGCATTTCACTGCGCTTTGCAGGCAGGCTAAAGAGAGGAAAGAGATCTCATCGAGGAGAGATCTCATCCTTGTTTTACCAAGGACTTCTTTTAAAGCAGTGTGTTTCCCATAGAGGGGAATTCTTTGGGCACTGCAGCTGTGCATTTTCCTGTTGGGTCATCTCAGTGATTGTCTTCACTGTTACTGAGTTAGTACTGCTAGTAATGTTAGCACTACTGCAGAACAGTCATAACATTAGAAATGTCTTCAAACTCCCATGTTGGCAAAGGGGCCTGCGTGGGCAGTTCTGTTCATCCTTTTCCTGTGCCTTCTGAGCAGACAGTCAGAGGTGATGCTTCATGCAGCCCTAAGGAAGGAAGCAGAGTCGGTCACAAGGACACCAGTGCGCGCACATGGTCCTCAACTAACACATCTGCTTTCCAGGGACTGTTGGGGTGAAAAGCATCCTAAATGGAAGACTTCATCCCATACATGACCCAAAACTCACTTGAAAAAGGATTTGCGCATGTCAGATCTGTTCCTCCTATAAGTATCTGATTTGGGCTGGCTGATTTTTGGAGCCATAAGAAAACCTGGCATCTTCAGAATCCACTGTTTGGATCCAAACACCTGTAATCACTCTGATTTCCCTTCATAGCCGAGATTTTCTTGACTCCTATGGCGCTGTTTTGTGGGCATCACATGCTAACTGGTACTCTTGAGCTCTTGATATCTTTCAGACTCTGTGCAGCTTTTCCCATAAGTAATTTCCATGTTCTGAATACAAAAAGGAAAGAAGAAATTAATCCTGGGAGGTCTTTCCCCTCTTTAAAGTTGAAGCAACTCGGAGAAGATATTGTGCTGATACAATTAATGGTATTGATATTAGCTGTTAAGTGTTTTTCAATGGCACTGCAAGTCTTCAGAAGGTTGACGCTTAATATTACCTATTCTTTGAGCTGCTGGGATGTTGTGTAGGAGGAGAAAGCATCTGGATATGATGCAGGTCTTGCAGTACTGTCACGAGAGCAGCATAAGTGAATTCTTAGTGTCTCCTCAAACTGTGATGCTGTTAGAAACTCTGCAGTCTGGTAATACTGTCACTTGGCATCTTAAAGGCATTAAAAAAATGCCTTTTAGGAAATCAATGCATTCACAAACATTTCTGTGCAGCAAACAGAAGCTTGCCAGCGTTTGTGCCTACGAAAACCTCCGGGATTGTTGTTGTCACAGACATCAGAGGAAGCTGTGAAGTGGCAAGCAAATAATGGAGTATGCGGCGAAGCCTCCGGTGCCAAGTGCTGACCTCTGTCTCTGCAGCATCTGTTCCCCCAAGCACTGCTTTCCCGGTTGATCAGCTGCCCAGAAACGAGTCAGTGAGAGAGGGAAGCAATTGTTGCTGTTGGTTGTTTTTTTTAAATAATAGTGATAGTAATCTACTGACCGGGGGATGTCTTGATTTAAAACAACAGCAGCAAAGAAAAAGGCACGGCAACCCCATTCTTCCTTAAGGTGCAGCTGATTGCTACAGGACGGGGGACCTGATGCTTTAAGGACTCAAGCCTAGTTAATGGTAAAGATAGCAACACAAAATCAGTTTTCCAAGGTTTTTATGACCTTAGGTAGAGGTCGGAAGCTGGGAATTTAACAGCAGAGCTGCTCTTCTTAGACCTTTTCCTTGCAAGCATCTCAGCTGTGAAACAGCAATTGGAAGGGATTGGAATCCTGAAGAACTGGATGATAATCTCTTAGTTGTGAGATTAATTCTCTTTGGTGGCCTTGCTGCATAGGATTGGATAGACGCAGCATTCCCACGTTAGCACACTTGTCACATCAGTGTGATTTGGCTTGCCAAACCAGTCAGGGCCTGAAATGAAGTTCACGTCCTGGTTGGTGCTTTATATCCAACCTCTGATTCAGTGAGAATAACACGGGAGAGATTGTTAGCAATGTCCTTAAAGAAAAGGGACAAACTTGATAAAGGCTTGTTCTATAAGATGAAACTTCTGCCCTAACTGAAGTCAATATATGCATAGATGTCAACTGCTTGCAACACTCTCCTGTACTGTTTGTGCTGTGTTTTGAGGCTTGTGAATACAAACTGATACGGTGAAGTCAGCTGAGAGCAGAAATGGAAGCAAGGATGGTTCCATGATAAAAACTCACAAGGGATCTGAAAATGTAAGTGGCTGCTGAGAACTGGAGAAGAAAATAACTGAGATTGCTGCTGTGCCCTGTGGTGAGAGTGGATCTGCACGTATGCCTTGCAGAGTCTGAAGAGAAGGATGAACTTACGAGCAGTGAAATAAACGGATTTTCTGAGCTTTGCTGTCACATCCGTGACCTGGAGATGGTTTGAGGCATTCAAGTGAAGCATCTCAAGGAAAGCTTGTGTGGATTTGTTGGTGTAAGGAAGATTCAAAGATAGCTTGAAGCAAAAATTCAAAGGGAAATTTGGCTGAAGCTAATTTTTATGGTAGTGCTGCTGTTGTCCTTGTCTCTGTAAAAGGAGAAGAAGGGGAGAGAAGGGAAACCTTTATCTCACTGTCAGCAGCGGGTTTCTCTTATTCTTAGTGATAAGAAGCACTTTGGTGTGTGGTGAAAGTAAAAAAGATTAGTTGTTTTCTCCACATTACAGAAAACCGAGGTGCCAATTATTTCACTCTGAACGACTGTAGATTTGGGAGTTTCTTGTAAAGGTTTAGTTTGTATAAAACTTACTTCTTCTATTCATCAGTACATTCTCTGCTGGAAGGCACGTATGGTAAAATCTGCTCTTTTATCCGGAGTCACCAGGTGGAATAAGTACTGCTGCTTCCTCTCTTTATTTTTTGTGATAACTAGGCATAATCTTTCAAAACAACATGAGGGCGTAGCTGACGAAGGGTTGTGCTGTCAGAGAACTTCTAAGTGAACGTTTGTGGATTTGGGAGGTAAAAAGTCAGACCTTTCTGCATGCCACTCATTATTCAGCAGTGCTGTGATCCGGCACTGCCACAGGTGCCTCCTGAAGGCTGAGTGTTGAGCAGCAGTTAGGCAGACGTGAATGTTTATGGAGAAAAGCTGATGTCTGTACTACAAACTGTAGCTGTGCTTTGGTGATGATTTCTTGAAGTGCTGGGCAGGTATTTTCTTGGTAGGTTGGTATCATGTGTGCACTCTTACCTTTACTCCAAGGAGCTGGGCTAAGTGGATAACATCTAAATACATTCCTAAGATGATGCTGGAGAATTGAGAACAAAGCAGTGAGACAAAACACAGCGTGCTGCTATGCAGATGCAGCTATTAGAGCTGTTTTCTCTCCTGACTGAAGACTTCTTGGGAAGCAGTGGGGGAAAATAGCTCCACATTTATAACAGCAGATTTAATTGAAGTTCTGAAAGGTACTGGTCTGTGTTGGTCTTACAGTACGGCTGCTGTAAGAAATTATCTGCCTGATTGAAAGCTGCAAATCGTAATTTGGAGAACAGCGATGGAGTAAGATGCTGTTGCTAAGCTACCGGCATTTTTATGACCTGCTCTTTATTTACTTCACAAAAGTAGAGCAAATGAGACTGTATTTTAAGAATCCGTGTTTCAGAGCTCGCTGTCTAATTCAACGTTCTGGTGACCTTAGCTAAAAATAAGTCGGGTGGCTTTTCACATTAGCATCTTCAGTTTGGATGCGACTGCCCTTCTTTGTACTCCTATCCAGCTCTGAACAGGAGCTGACACACTGAAACGGTGCTTAAGAGACTAACCTGGTTTTGTTTTGCTTTCCCTGAAGGAGACAAGAGAAGAGAATGAATTTTCTTGTCTTGCTTTAAAATCAGTTTTTCTGAGGAAAAAGCCCATCAATAGTAGAGGGTAGAAAGAAGCTAAAAGGACAGAGAAAGCTGGTGTACCTCCTGCAGTTACACTGTCAGGATCTTTAACATGCAGACATATGCTGTGAGCATCAAATATATTTCCCTTTTCAATTCTGTGACTTTTAACTGTGATTTGGCTTTATTTTGAAGAATAACACTGTAATTTTCTGTTTTCTGTCCTGGCAGCCTCCGAAAGTAAAATGCTTGACAAGAATCTGGCATCCAAACATCACAGAGACAGGAGAAATCTGCTTAAGGTAGCAACAGCATTCTTTTTTTTTTTTTTATATCCTGAAGGTCTTTCTGTGTGATGAAATGTTGTATGTAATTTTCAAGTCGCTGTTACTTTTGTCAGTGGTTTCTAGAAATCAGACCACTATCTGCTAAAAACATAGAAATATACAGAAAGTGTTGTTCTTGCTGTGCAATATGTGCTGGGTAGAACCTGACTCTTCAATTTCAGACTTAACTTTAAGTTTTGTTTAGGATAAAAGTGTAACATCCAATCTGGACACAGCTTCTTCCCTTTCCCTCTTTCCCCCTTTCCCTTTTTCCTCTCCTCATAGGTGAATAATTTTCAGGCCCTGAGAAGGCTGAAGGCTTTGCTCTGTTAATGCCTATATTATTTTAGTGCTTGGAAACTGTTTTTCAGAACGGGAAAAAAAAAATCTGTTTAACTTTACAATAACTATTCTATATGTATTTATTTTCACATATAACATCTACTGAAAGACAGATGCTGGTTATAAGAAAACAGAGTTGGGGGAACATGAGGCGGGGTATGAAGCCCAAAAGCTGACCTTTCCCAAAGGAACCCAGCTACACTGCTGGCAGGTTTTTCACAATAGTAAATGTTTCCTCTTCAAAATCAGTTCCAGAAACCTTGTGATTTCAGTGTTTCATCTCGTGTACCCAGTGGTGAAATTGGCTGGAAGCTGAACATAAACAGAAGTAAGAAGCAGGACTGTCATTTCTCAACTTAATGGAACATGAAAGAAATACTAAATGAAGCATAAGCGGTGAAAATAAGTAAGATTGAAAGCTGTTCTGAAAATCCGAAACAGTTGCCGCCACATGTAGCAAAGCAGTGCTTAAAAAGATATATTTTGTGTCCTTTAGATTTGAAATACAAGGTCCTGGTGCAAACAAAGCTTTCACAGGGTAGCCTTTCTCCCTTGGTGGGCAGCTCTGGCTCATTGGTTGGTAGCAGCTGGAGAGCTGATAGCAGTGCTTTGAGCTTCAGTGATGTGCTGCATGCTTCTGAGGAGCTGGTGCTGTTGGAGGGTGGTGGTGTTTACCTGGTCAATGGAGAGAACCTGGGTGCTGTTAATCAAAGAGCTGAAGTAAAGGCAAGGAATGGATGAAGTGTTTAGAAACTGAACAGGAAATACTGGACACCAACAGATAGGTAAAAGTTTAAGCTTTGACTATTAGAGCTGTATCTTTTGAGGTTAAACAAAGCCTCCTCGCACTCTTGAGGATGTTTCAGTGTGTCTATTCTTCAAATGATTTTAATTATGTCAGACAAATGTAGTGTTGGAACATCTTAATTCTGGTTAATGAAGTGAAGTCATTTCTTTGGCGTCTGCACTGAAATGTCAGCTTTATTTGATTGTCAGATACTTAAGCACATTAAACCTTAGAATGTCTTACCGTTTAGATGGGAAATCTAAAATAACCCAGACTGCTAGAATGGAGAATGCAATCTATATATAGTACCTGCAATCAGCTTCTATCAGTCTCTTCATATAGAAATGTCTTTGGGTACTTATTAAAGCAGAAGTAATCAGTATTTTTCCAGCTGTTTTCTTCTGAGCATACCTTACAGCACGGTGTGTAATTGTTCCTAATTAAAACACAGTGAATAATTAAACTTGAGTCAGGTGCAATAGATTGGGGCACAAGAAGCATTCTTCCTGTACCTTATGAATTGCAGTCACTCAAATTAGATCTGGACCATACTTACGGATGTTGCTTGGAAACACCAAGGTATCTAGAAACAATATGCTTACCACATACACCAGTTCATCCTTTTCCTAATAATAAAACTTCTAATACATATCCCTGATTTTATTTCACCTCTGTTGATGATCTTTGGCTTTTTTTTTCTCCTTGCCCACATAAGCTTTTGGAAAAGCTTAACCACTCTGAAGTTTTGCTGCTTCGTAGCCGTGCTTCTGCTTATGGTGAGAAGACAAGATGTGGTTTCTTCAGGCACCCTGTGCTGGGGAAGGGCTTTGATTAGGAGCCAAATGATTGTTTCTGATCTATGGGAGGAAAGGGGGTGCTGCTCTTAGAATGGGTTATATCAGCAAATCTGAAATACGAGGCAGAGCTACGCTTATCTGTCTGCATTGCTTTCCTGCCACAGCTCCATGAGAAATGAGTGTGTCCTCTTCAGTCCTGGCTGCTGAGCTGGAGATTCGCATAGAGAGAGAGGCTTTGGGAGCTGCAGGGGTGTTAATGAAGTTTGGCTGGTGTTCTCAGGTGCTTGGAGTTCTGTCAGTTGATACTTGCATGCTTTTTTTGTATGCACTCACTTATTCTTAGCTCTTAAGCTCACTGGGGGCTGTATGGTAAAGTAAAGGGAAGTACTGCAGCAAAATTGAAGGAGAAGAAGAAAGCTTATAAGGTCCTTTCTTTCTTCAAAACCTGAAAACCTTGGTTCTTCCTTGTTCAGCATCATTTTTGCTTGTTTTGCTTTACTTTTATAACATGAACAAAAACAAAAGCCCAAACGTTTTTTTAATGTTTTTGAAGTTAGTTTTGGGTGCTGTTGGTGGTGGAAGCACATTTTGTCTTTTCAAAGGCACTGAAATGGGATTAGCAATGTGGTTAAGATGGGATACTTGGTCCATTCATCTTCTTCCTGGACTCTTAAAGGGATAATGAAGTACTACAAAAAAAACCCTGCAAAATGAATAGCTTTAGAGTATTTCACTTTAACCCTATCAGTTAGCAGCAGAAGCTATTGCTACTGATAAATCCCTGTGCTTTGTTACTTTGCTGTGTGAGTTTTCAGTTTCAGATTGCTTCTTAACAGAGGAAGTCAATTGTGAAATGATGCTTACAGGAGTTTCTCAGATTATTAACTTTGCTTTCGTGCAGGAGTGAGACTTCTGCTTTTCTCAGTCTTTCATCACCTGTGGTGTTTCTTAGTTACGCTCCAGTCTCCAACACTTTTACTCCTCATGGGTGATGATGTTTTTACCTGGGAGCTCCAGGAGTGTCTGACCGACTGAATACACCTCAACTCTTTCATCTTGTAAATGGCTCAACAGTTTCAGTGGCCTTATTACATAGCACAGTGTGCAGGTCAGCTAAAATTCATACCTGTGCACGGAGGAAAGACCAGAGCTATTTCATTTTCCTATCCCTGATTTTAAGAAGCTGCAGCCCTTGTACAGAAGGGAGGATGATAATAATCCTCTCTGATAAATAGATGTCTCTCCAAAAATATTCTCTTAGAGGGATTGAGCTGTGCCAGATGTGGTAGGAGCCAGGACGTGCTGCTGGAACTGCCTGCTCACCACAGATGAGCGTGTTTGGAAATGGAGCACTTGTGTGTCTGTGCATTCAGGGGTAAATAAAGGCTCGGTGTTGGGGGTGCCAGAAGGACTGCTGTCACACTTAGTATACTTAAAATAATTTGATTTTTGACCAAGCTGAGCTGTGTGAAGAATGTAATTCTTGGACAACGTACCGATTTTGGTGCTTTTAAAAGTCCTGATGCTAGATAGAGTGCAAGAGGGATGTAATACTAACGTGGCAATTTCTTCCAAAGTTGTTAAAGCTGTCTGAGAAGACAAAGTTTCTCTAATAGAAATTACAGTGTATATAATATGTTTGTCTTTTTTTCAGTTTATTGAGAGAACATTCAATTGATGGCACTGGCTGGGCTCCAACTAGAACATTAAAGGTACTATTTCCTTTTAGATACGTACAGCAAACTAGATAATCTTTTAAACTACCTTTACAGACTTGTGAGGAGTCAGATAAATGCAGTTTGCTCTAGGAACAGCTGTTGTGTTTTTTGTCTTTCAACAAGCTGGTGACAATACTGAAACAATTACTGTGCTAACCAAATATAGAAATGTTGTCTATTTCTAGTGTGCCTGCTTTGAGTGATAACAAGTTTTGTGGGATGATATGATTACAGTAACCCTGAGAAACCACTTCCAGTAAGGGTGGTCTGATTTCTTGGTGGTCTTTTTACCCAGGCAACAAATAGAAGAGCATGCTGTGAGCAGGACTAACAGTAATCCATAACCCTTCCAATTTCCATTGTGTTGACAGTTCTGACAAGCCAGCAGGCTGTCTTAAGAACGTTTTTTCCTTGGAAGACTAAAAGGCACAGTGCATTTGGGAGAAACACCGTATGGAACATAGAATTAGACTGTAGTTACTGCTGTGCCTTGAATCGTGTTTCATCCCCAGTGTTGGAACTGGTAAGAAACATGTCCACACTTCAGTACTGCATAAGCAGGCTGCTCCTGCCTGTTCTAGTAATTCCAGCAGGGAAATGACTGCCTCTGCCCTGTAAGCTTGCCTTGCAGTCACGTTACCCGAGTCACCACAACGTAAGTAGAACTTGCCCCTTATGAAGTTGATGGCAGTTTTGCCACCATGATTGCAGAATGGCATCTGAGGTCAGTCCCACAACAGCTGGGCAGTGTGAAAAAATTCAGAGCCGTAGTTCCTGGCTGAGATACACATCCTTTGTGACAGTCTCCCCAGGAGTGCCTCAGTGCAGCGAGTGCCCTCATCTCCATGCAGAAAGCACTCCGTTGTCTGCTGCTCCATGACCTCGCTGTCAGAAGAGTCTTGCAGAGGACTGAGTAAAAATCTCTCCAGCTTTTGATAGGAAACCTGCTAGAATTTGTTCCCAAACAGCATTAGCTGGGTCGATAATGGGTGAGCATGTCAGCTGTTTGTTTCTCTTCGAAAGCCAGATTTAGAATTTTTGTCTAATACCTGCTTTGCTTTTTCTAACTATGAATGAGATCTGTGTCTTCCTCCTTTTAATCTCCAAAACGTCCTTATGAGCTGCCTGATTTCCTGGAAAGTGGAACCAGAGTATGTTTTTTTGTGTTTTTTAAATACTTTCTGCTTCTTTTTCATCAGTAAGCATACTTTGTCTTCTCTCTTACGTTTCTGTTTGCAAATTAGCTTAAATTGAGACATTAGGTAATTGAATACACTGCTTCTGTTCTTGTTTCTCTATTTCATTCCCAGAGGAAGTTTTTGGACTACAAATGTTTAAGCTTTAGACAATTAGAAAATTCCTATGCCAGTAGTACAACTTGACAAGAATGCACATACGTTCTTATCTCTTCTAGCTTTATTTACAGTATCTTAGGAAGATTAAAGTAGTGTTTCATGTTAAGACTGTGGGTGGGAATAATTAGTGACACTGTATTTAACTTCCTATCGTCAGTAAGGTTAGGAAGATATGTATTAATTTTCTTTACCACTCTGTTCTTGCATCAGTTTACTAATTAATTTCATAGAGGAAACATCCTAGTATCTCAGTTGCCAGAAGAGTGAAATTAATGAGCTTTATGAAGCAATTTAGGGTGTTTTTACCCTCCGTAAATTAAAATCTAGCATCCCCTCTGGGTTTCATTACTCCCCGTGGGCATTGAAGCACCACAAATTTCATACCTCTAAACTTGTGAAGTTTGTCTGACTTCAGGTTTTGTTTTCAGAGGGCCCATTTTAAGCAAGCGGTTTCAGTCAGCGTTCCCTCACTTGTTCTGCGATGGCTTCGTGTGGTTTTGCAGTGCCACCACAGCAAGTACCTGACTTCCATGTTTTGCCTCTGTAGAAACGTGGTGATCGCATGAAGTAGCTTCACAAAAGTCAAGCAGGAATAGCTGTTAGGGATGCTGGGAAGCTGCAAGCCCCGTTTCCAGAACAGTGCTATTAGTTTGATTAGTCTCCAAGTGCTCAGATTCCAGACCAATTACAGTCCTTGGATGGAACAGACAGCATTGTGCAGGTTTGTCTCCAAACAAGTTACTTTTCCATAGACATGAATCATTCTGTGGTAGGTACGTGTTCCCTATCGAGCAGAGCATTATGTGGAGTGATGTGATTTTGTAGGAAGGAGCAGTGCCCAACTTTGTCAAATACTCTAAAATGCTGCCACAGTGTTTTGTTGGAGAATGCAGGAAACATACTGGATTTTGATGACAAATACTGTCAGGTGTCACCAGTGCAGCCATTCTGCGTGCATTAACAAAGCCATTTAAATAGATAACAGAAGAAGAGCCTACCTGACCTCAAAAGCCACATGCACAAACCAAGCCAGCTTTGCCTTAGGCTGCTGCTGCATTCATCTGTATGATACACTCTTAACCTTTCAGAAGGCTTTGGAAGTTTTAGATTGTCTCATCTTCCATATCCTAGTGGTGGCAGCAGAGCTCTTACATGAAAAATCCTTCAAAATAAGTTACTGTGACCTTCTTAATACTTGCAGTATCAAATTGGGAGCAACTTGAAGAGGCTTTCAGATTGCACCTTTTGACTTTCTGAAAACAGGCCAAAAAAACTGTGAATATTTCCTGATAAAATGTGTTCTGGCAGCGTACATAATTCATAAGGGGGGGAATAAAAGGCTCTGTGAGTTCTGTATCCTGGCATTTTGCTTCACTTGCTGCCATCTCATTCACAGCTGAACTCTGTCGGAGTTACCAAGTGTTGAGCATTGTGCTGTCTTCCAGTTCTTCCCTTTATGGGAACTGCAGCCTGTGTGCTAGTGAAGGCACTGATGTGTGTGGTCTTCCTGAATTCCTGTGTTGGATGGAGCAAGTTGAGTTTTAACCCTGGAAAGAGGTTGTGGGTAATGTTTGAAAAGATTCTCTCTGTGTATTCTTTTATCACCACTGATGCAGTTGCAAATATTTTCTTTATCCATAGAAACAGTCCTGAATTCTAAATTCTTAAAAAATAAAAATAAAAATCTGGCAGCTTGCTCCACAGAATTATGAAATATACAAAGAGAGATGCAGTACTTCTAGACTGATATTGCAGTGCAATCATTCATTGCTTTATGAGTTAGCTGCAGGCGCTTGCTTACCTTTCTGTCTCCATGCTGTGAGGTTTTGCATGGTTTTACTGCATACTTTCCTCTCTAAAACAGAGTATCTATGAAGCTGAGGACTGCAGAGGTTACTTTAGGTTGAGTCTCTCCAAGTAGCTTCCTTTTTTCAGTTTCTAGGTCTCATAGTAAAAACTGGAGCTTTCCAGGTGGAAATCAAAGAATTTGTTTTAATTCATTCTGCTCTCAGATTTTCATTTCACTAAAGGTAGCAGTTTTGAAATGCCTGTCGGGAAATAACGGTGTTATTGCTTTAATACCTTGCTTTTTCCACCCTCAGGAGTTTCGATTCTGAACCCAGAATGCTGCAGCAGCTCCTGCTGCTCCTTAGCATGCACCTCCTTGTGCCTGGCTCACCACGACCCAGCTGCCTGGTTAAGCCAGGCCTCCCTAGTGCTCATCAGCTTTGTCTGAAATGCTTGTTTTGACTTTGCTGTAAAATTATCTCGGGTGATTGAGCTGAAAAAAAAAAAAAAGTCTACCTATTGTGATTGCCTAATTGGTTCTAAAAGTCAAGCTGTTTCTTCTGCAATTATCTCCAACAAAACTATAGCTGGAAATTGGTCAGTGACTGATTTATGAACCATAGAAATGATCGAGGCACCGCTGTGTAATTCTGACTCTGCAGGGCAGAGCATGGTAGTGTTAAAAACAGTATTTTAAAACGTCTGATGAACGTCCACAAGGAGAATTTGGGTGAGTTCCCTGTTCAGGTGGAGCTACAGTGAGTTTCAGATAACTGGAGGACTATTTGCAGTAGGATTTTCTTGTTTACTGTTCAAGTTTTGATACCTTTCAGTTCTTACCACGCTTTAGAGTGTTGCTTTTGACATGTCTTATTTCTGTCAGTAGACAGGAACAGGAGTGGGAATTCTCAAGGTTCCCTCGAACTATAGCTGTGCAAACAGCTTCTTATAGCAACCTGTAGGAAAATGCTATGTTTTCCAGGAATTCATTTCTGATATCTTCAGATAGCTGCTTGTGTTACTAAATAATCTAATCTACAAGGTATTAAAGGCTTCAAGAATAATTTACAATAACCTGTCATTAATTGAAGTTTATTCACAAGAGGCTTACTTATTTAATTAGCGTTTATGAGTAAATGGGGAAATATCTCCTATTTGTTGTGTTGGTTTTGCTTTTGTCCACAGGCAGTAAAGATAGTTTGTTTGAAGTCATGTAAATGACAACCTGTAATCTGGTGGAGAAGTAAATGAGAGGAACTTCACTTCATATTTCCATTTACCAGCATTTAGGCACAAAGCTGTTTAGTTCTTAAAAGCTTTGGTGTGAGCACAAAACTTTCATTCATTGTCTTAATGAAAATGGGTGGTTTGCTGTCAGGATTTTATGTAATTAGTGTAGAGGAGTATTTTCAGGAGCAATAACTGTCAGTGTCTTCAAGATGAAGGGAAGAAGAGTAAGCCTGTATGTCCTGTGCCATTCTAATGTAATTCTTGCTGCTGATAGTACCTCTTTCTCAGCCAGCATTATGGTAATGCTGTTTGCTGTAATGGCAGTAGAATCACTCCTGATTTGAGTTCCACTGTTGATTTATTCAAATCCCACCTTGTAAGGTGTCTGCCAGCTGTGTGCCAAAATCTCCAAGCACATGCTAGTGGAGGCTGCATTCCTACATGGAACGTGCTTATCCCCCACTCCAGCACAGCCAGTAGCTGATTTCCCTTGCACCAGAACTGCTCTGCGACCTCAATCACCACACTGAAAGTAGGGACATGGGATTCTGCTCCATAATTTAATCTGAACTGACCACCACCAGGTCCATCAGTGCCACACAGCGCAGACCCCATGTGCTG